GTTTTTCTTGGAAATAGGTTGAAACTATCAACTACCACTAATCTTTGTCCCTTCTTTTCTTCTTCCTGAGCCTTTGTTTTATAGTTAGAGTCCGAGGTAAACTCTTTACCACAGCCTTGGTTCCTTTTGGCCAGGGTTGAACTCACTGGTATGGTCATCTAGTTGTCAGGTAGTTGTTTTTTTGACAGGAGAGATGGCAAACTTACAAACATAACAGTGAGAAGTCAACAATGCCATTGCTATATTGGGGGGGGGGGACTCACAGGTGGGGGACTCCAAGTGCTGCCCTGAGGCCAGTTGTCCCTGTTTGAGTTACTGGCCAAAGGAAGTGGTGTCTGGGTAGAAGGGCTTCTCAAAGTGAAATAGCTAAATAGTCAAAATTCAGATAGTACGTTGACGTGTCAGAGTTTTAGAAAAATGAAGCAGGAAGGCCGGCCCCAGGGCTCACTAGGCTAATCCTCTGCCTGCGGCGCTGGCACCCCGGGTTCTAGTCCCGGTTGGGGTGCCGATTCTGTCCCGGTTGCTCCTCTTCCAGTCCAGCTCTCTGCTGTGGCCCAGGAAGACAGTGGAGGATGGCCCAGGTGCTTGGGTCCTGTACCCGCATGGGAGACCAGGAGAAAACACTTGGCTCCTGGCTTCAGATCCGCACAGCATGCGGGCCATAGTGGCCATTTTGGGGGGTGAACCAACAGAAGGAAGATCTCTCTGTCTCTCCCTCTCACTGTCTAACTCTGCCTGTCAAAAAAAAAAAAAAAAAAAAAAAAAAGAAAGAAAAAAAGAAAAAAAGAAGCAGGACATAAAACCCATTCCTTCTGAACCTAAGTGACAGCCAAGGGGACACAGAAGTCACTGGAAGGAAATTTCTGAGTGCTACTGGCATTGCAGAAGTACAGAGAGGTAGGGACTGAGGGTGGCTGCTCCAGCAGGAGGGTGAGGAGGGCCTGGACTAGAAGTCACTGCCACTCAGCTCTGATCCTCTAAGCCGGCGCACCGTGCACTTGGCAACAGTACTTCTCTGCCCTCCCGAGAGTCCAGGAGCATACTCTTAGAACAGATTCAATACTTATTTCACAGACTCATCAGTCAACACGCAGCCAATCACAGTGTCTGCAGTACGAGACTCTCAGTGTATGTGTTCATGCCAATCTCATAGTCGCATCACTGTCCCAGTTGTCATGAGAATAAGAAAATAGATTAATCATCGAGCTAAAACTCTGACTCTATCTGCTCCCTAAACCACAGCCACATAACTTTTTTTGGTTTGTAAAAATATACCTTGTTGGCCGGTGCCATGGCTCACTAGGCTAATCCTCCACCTGTGGTGCCGGCACTCTGGGTTCTAGTCCTGGTTGGGGTGCCGGATTCTGTCCCGGTTGCTCCTCTTCCAGGCCAGCTCTCTGCTGTGGCCCTGGAGTGCAGTGGAGGATGGCATGGGAGACCAGGAGGAAGTACCTGGCTCCTGGCTTCGGATCAGCGCAGCATGCCGGCCGCAACGCACTGGCCGTAGTGGCCACTTGGGGTTGAACCAACGGAAAAAGGAAAACCTTTCTCTCTCTCTCTCACTGTCTAACTCTGCCTGTCAAAAAAATATATATATACCTTGTCATTTGTAAGGAATTTTACTTCATCTTTCTACTGTGAAATTGATGATGGCATTAGGATCATTAGCAACATCTCTCAATTTTATCCTCAAGGAAATGAACATTCAGGATAACTTGCCCCAGGTCCTGTGAGCTCTCCAGGTCTTCTCATTCTGAAGTCAACTCTTCTCTCTTAACCTCACTTTGAAGGAATGAGGTACAGAAGAGCTTCAAGTTCAGGAGGATTTGTCTCACTTCTCTTCCCTGTCTGTACTCTTCTCCCAAGAAAGGAATTTTCCCAAGAAAATGCAGACAGTGTCAGAATCTTTACCATTTTTTTCAAGTTCAGGTATTTTACCATTCCACAGAGAAGTTTAAGGCCAATGTGTTAAGTACCATTGAAGCTGTGAGAAATTCCTTTCTCTTCCTTGACTTGTCTCTCATTCTGCCCCTCCTCCAAAATTGCTTTGTCACTCTTTTGTCTCCAACGTCATCCTCACCTCTCTTCCTCTTCCTCTTCTTCTTGTAGCAGACTTCTTGGCAATCAGGATTTTACTTCAAATGACCCATCTCTGAGAAATGCTCCCTCAGGTTTCTGTGCATGTTTCTATTTCAGGAAGCATTAATGAATGCCATCGTGTCCTAATTAAAGTGAATCATGCAAAACTGAGGAGCAAGCTTATCTTTTTCTCAGAGAATCCACAATCATGTTTGGATATGTCACTATCTCTGGAATAAAAACAAAGTGTTCTTTTAATTAAAAAAAAAACACTGTTCTTCAGGCTGTTTCTAACAGTTTCTACTGCTATTCACACAAACCAGAAAAAGGAACAATGACCCTTGAAGCCAATTAATATTGTGAAGAAACTGGATGAAAGTTTGGTACTTTTTCAGAATGGACAAATAATTCATTTTGAAATAAAGACTTGGCAATAATTAAGTTGGACAAAAAAAAGATATGAGGAATAAACTGTTACAGACTTCAAAAACAGATCTTCACACATCAATTTTGTAATAATATGGGAAAACATTTATGGTGGATCAAGCAGACAGAAAGATAATGCAAAATGGTTGGTTGCTTGGAGGTTAAGATGCCCATATCCCACATCAGAGTTGCTGGGTTCTGTTTCTGGCTCCGGCTCCTGACCCCAGCTTCCTGCCAGTGAAGTTCTTGGGAGGTAGCAGTGATGGCTCAGGTAGTTGGGTTCCTGGTACCTGTGTATGGGACCTGGATGGAGCTCCTGCCTCTTGGCTTGTGCCCCAGCCACTGCAGGCCTTTGGGCAATGAATCAGCAGATGAGCTTTCTCTTTCACTGTCTCACAGTTAATAAATAATTTTTAAAAAGAAAATAAAGTAAAAATTACACAATAAGGAATATATGTGTTCGTGGATAGTTGATCCAGTCATGGAAGGGGATGCTTTCTGATTCTATTGCAGCGTCTTCAGAGAACATTGTCTTCATGAACTCTTTTATTTGATATCTGTTGGACCTGCGCTGATTCTATTTGGTGGTCAGTTTTTATAAATACTCATATTCTTTATGTGGTTGAAAAGAACATGCATTTTCTATTGGGTGGAACTGTCTATATATGATCATTCAAGTTTGTTACTTGTGCTCCAATCTTTAAATCTTTACTAATTTTTAGTCTGATATAATATTAAGAGAGTGTATTAAAATATTCCACTATGATTATGGGTTTTTTACTTTTTGTAAATTCTAATTTTTTTCCTATCTGAGGGCTGCTATTAGGTATATATGACAGGAGTATCATAGTCTCCTGTTAATTTTTGTTAATATTATGGTAAAGTTGTTTAATTTTCTGTTCCTTATGGGGCGGGGGGGGGGAGAGAAAGTGAAAGTGAAACTTCTTTTCTTTTCTTTCTTTTTTTTTTTTTTTGACAGGCAGAGTGGACAGTGAGAGAGAGAGAGAGAGAGAGAGAGAAAGGTCTTCCTTGACCGTTGGTTCACCCTCCAGTGGCCGCTGCGGCTGGTGTGCGGCGGCTGGTGCACCGCACTGATCCGAAGCCAGGAGCCAGGTGCTTCTCCTGGTCTCCCATGTGGGTGCAGGGCCCAAGGACTTGGGCCATCCTCCACTGCACTCCTGGGCCATAGCAGAGAGCTGGCCTGGAAGAGGGACAACTGGGACAGAATCCAGCGCCCTGACCAGAACTAGTACCTGGTGTGCCCGGCGCCACTAGGCAGAGGATTAGCCTATTGAGCCACGGCGCCAGCCAAAAGTGAAACTTCTAACCAACCACTGATTCACTTCCTAAATGACCACAAGGACAAGGACCGAGCCTGGAACTCTAGCTGGGTCTTCCACATGGCTAGTGAGGGCAAAGCACTTGGGCCATCTTCCACATCTTTCATAGGTGCATTAGCAGAGAGCTGGATGAGAAGCACAGTAGCTAGGACTTGAACAGGTACTCTGATATGGGGTGCCACCATAGCCTGCCATAGCACAATGCCAGCAATACAGGGCGGGCATTTGGTGCCACAGTTATGATGCTGCCTGGTTCAAGGTCCAGCTCCTCTACTTCCCATCCAGTTTCCTGCTAATTTGCACTGTAGCAAGCAGCAGATATTGCATCAAGTACTTGGGCCCCTGCCTCCCATATGGGAGACCCAGATTGAGTTCTGGGTCCTGACTTTGCCCTGGCCCAGCCTTGGCTGTTGTGGGCATGTAAGGAGTAAACCAGTAAAGAGAAGATTGCTTACTGTTTGTCCCTCTCTCTCTGCCTTCAAATTAAGTGGAAATAATTTTTTAAAAAGAGGTTTCCCCAGTTGAACTAAACTAGTTCTGAATATTTTTGAAATTATTTTCTTCGTTTGGTGCCTAGATGTGCAGTATCACATTCAATACTTGCAAATGGACATAGCAAAAATTAAATGTGCCTCAAAACACTCAAGATGAACACAGCAGGCTATAATATTCAATGTCATGGCCATTCCAGAAAGAAAGGTCCAAGTTCAGTGTCATGAGCCTTTCTGGCTCCCTTCCATGGATTGATGCTGGAATGAGCTTTGCCCTGTGATACTCATTCTTGTCACTGATTAACCAGCAGAACAGGCAGGCTATCCTGCCAACATTTACTGTGCCTGGGGAGAGACATCTGGCCAACCTTTGGTGAGGAGGGAAAATGTCCACTCGTTACCACCAAGCTGCCAGTGATAGCTACCTGGAACTTCTGAAAGAGGCTACCAAGCGAGATCTGAATCTCTCTGATGAAGATGGCATGACTCCCACTCTCCTGGCAGCCTACCATGGGAACTTGGAAGCCCTTGAAATTATCTGCAGCAGAGGGTAAGTTCAACATAATGTCTTCTGTGGGAAACAGTGCTGATAACAGGATTTTTTTTTTTTTTTGACTGGCAGAGTTAGACAATGAGAGAGAGAGAGACAGAGACAAAGGTCTTCCTTCTGTTGGTTCACCCCCGAAATGGCCGCTACAGCCGGTGCGCTACGCTGATCCAAAGCCAGGAGCCAGGTACTTCCTCCTGGTCTCCCATGAGGATGCAGGGACCAAGCACAAGCACTTGGGCCACCTCCACTGCACTCTCAGGCCACAGCAGAGAGCTGGACTGGAAGAGGAGCAACCGGGACAGAATTGGCGCCCCAACTGGGACTAGAACCTGGGGTACTGGCGCTGCAGGCGGAGGATTAGCCTAGTGAGCCCTGGCGCCAGCCTGATAGCAGGATTTTGTAGTCGGCAGCAGGAGACAAAGAAGTCAGTGCAAACACTTTGTTCTCTTTCTAGACTTTCTAAATAATTGAATTTTTAGAGAAAGGCAGAAAAATCTGCCCAGGGATGCACTAGTTTTACAGTGAGAACTGGCGCCATGAGAGTGGCTCGTTCCTTAGCACAAGTATAGGAGAGACACTAAACTCTAAGGTGTTGTTACCTGCCTTGGGTGCAGGGAAGATAAATTAATTCCATGCCTCTCAAGTCTTTTCCATGAAATTTAAATAGAGATCATGGTTCTACTTGGTTTTGAGTTGTCAACCTTGATTGGAATAAAAGGCATATTTTTATTATAAATTTTCATAAATGCCTTTAAAATCCCACAGCTTTTTGTTAATATTCAATCCCAGTGCAAGCTCATGATTGCTGAAGAGAGTTGCTGGCTTTGTCAGCCACAGCACACACACACTACCCCCACTCCAAACTTTAAAACAGCAGTTTTGCTAGCTCCTTTTCTCTGCTTTTTCTGCCTGTTACCAGAGGAGCTAGGCAGTATTAGCAACTACAACCCAAGATGAGTAAAGAAAGGGGAAAAATAAAATGTAAATGAAGAAGCCAACTAAATTCAATACCTATTCATTTTGTATCTGTCATATGCCAGTCATTTTGCTAGCCACTGGGCATGCTGTCATCAGTAAGAGAGATACAATTTCTGTGATGGTGATCACATCTGAGAGTGGAAGACATGATAGGTCTTACAGAAATGGAAATGAGAAGGCATGAAATAACTCAGGCATTCATCCTACTCAGGGTGTAGGAAAAGCTTTCCCAAGGGGCAAGCAATTCAGCTGGGATTCGAAGTGCTGAAGATGGAAGAGAAGTTTCCCCCACCACTGAGCACTGTGGATTACACTGTAGATTCCAGGATCTGAAGAAGTTGGATGTTGCTGGTCATGGCTTGAATGGGGACAGGACAAGTGTAAGAAATGTGACCATGTTACCAACATCCTTGAGACCACTATTAAGGAGTTGAACATTATTCTAAAAGCCTGGAAAGCCATGTCTTGGGGGTTAGGCAGGGGAATCACCAGGCAGATTTATGTTCATAAAATTTACTCAGGGAGCTGTGTAGCAGTCAGAGAGAGTGTTCAGGGGCTGTTTTAATGGTAGAGATGAAATGACTTGGACTATGGTAGTGTCAGTGGGAATGTAGAGACGTGGATGTATTTGAGTGGCAGTTTAGATGTAGAACCGGTGACTGTGTGTGGGCAAAGGAAGGGGAGGGTCAAGGCCCCAGGTTCTGACTTGGACAGTTTGTGGATGCTGACACCCTTTATTGAAGAGGGGGGCACTTTCTGAAGAGTAAGAAGAACCAGGGCTTGGGAGAGTGGAGGCCCCCCTGAGAACTAAAGGAGAATGTGAGTGAAGTTGATGTTTCCCATCCTTATCTGATGTATGACTTCCCATCCCAGGCACCCCCACCCCACAGTCAGCTTTCTCCAGATCCCAACCCTGTGTCATCTCACTGCTTCTCCCACCCAGCCGAGGCTTCCCAAACTTCCCTCCTCTGCTGAGCATTTATGTATACCTCCTTTCACAAAGGGCAAGATGTCAGTTACTCTCAAACCAGTGAGCGAGTTTGTCCCCACTGGGAGAGGGCTTAGCATTCTGTTCTCTTGGCAGAGACCTTGTCCTGTTCAAGGTCTACTTTATTTTACTTACTTATTTTTAAAGATTTATTTTTTTGAAAGAGTTAGAGAGAGGGACACACACACACACACACACACACACACACAGAGCACGCGCGAGAGTGAGCGAGCTTCTATCTACAGGCTCACTCCCCAAATGGCTGCAATACCAGGGCTGGGCCAGGCTGAAGCCAGGAGCCAGGAGCTTCTTCCAGATCTTCCATGGAAGTAGAAGGGGCTCAAACACCTGGGCTATGTTTCACTGTTTTCCCAGGCCATTAGCAGGGATCTAGATCAGAAGTGGAGCAGCTGGCGTAGGAACTGGAGCCCACATGGGATGCCAGAGCCAAAGGCATTGTTTTCATCCTATGCACAATTTCAGCCCCTTGAGGTCTACTTTAAATGGCAGTACTCAGATGTTCTCCCTCTCTTCTCTGTAAGCCTGAAATATTTTCTTACAATAATCGTCTTACTGGTCTTTAATTACAAAAGTTAACATTAGCTGAACCAGAAAATTAAGCCACACGCATGAACACAAAATATAAAGAAAAAAAGTACTATGATGCCATAGTGTTAACATTTATGTTACATGTGATATATTATATATATATGTAGATATAGTGTATATAATATATTTGTGTCAATATATGTCAATACATCTTCTATAATTTAATTTTCAAGGACTTCTTAGTATCCTAGTCAACAAATATATTTCTTAGTCATTCCTTCTATTGGACACATACTTTATTTTTCCTAGTTGAACAATGCTGTGATGAGTATTAAACATAAGTCTTTTCTCATACTTTTTTGAGAATAAATTCTCCCAAGTGAAGTTTCTCAATCAGTTGGCATATACTTAGTTCATTTGCACTACTCTAACACAATTCATTGGACTGGGTACTTTACAAAAAAAGAATTTATTTCTTACACTCTGCAGCTGGCAAGTTCAAGATCAAGGCTATATCAGGTTGAGCATCTGGTGAGAGCCTAGAGGTGGTACTTTGTTGCTCCTCCCTGGGGGAGGAAGGCTGAATCTTTAAAAGGCAGAAAGGAGAGAAGGGAGGAAAAAAGGGTGAATTTCCTCCACCAAGCCCTTTTACAAGGGCACCTGGATCCATTCATGAGGGTGGAGCCTTTATGAGTCAATCACTCCTAAAGGCAGCACCTCTTTATACTGCTGCATTGGAGATTAAATTTCAACATGAATTTTGGAGAGTACATAGACATTCAAACCATAGAAATGTGTACAATTTAAAGACTTGTATATATATATTGACAAATTGTTCTTCACAAAATAGGTACCCATTTTTACAAATATGATAAGTCCAAAATGATACATCAGTGTGACTTTAACATTCTTTTCTTTAGTTACTGGTGAGGTTGAGAATTTCTTTTATGCTTAATGGATGTTGTATTTCTACTTTTGTGAACTATTTATTGATAACCCTACCCCACTTTTTTTTTTAAAGATTTATTTATTTTTTCGAGAGGCAGAGTTAACAGACAGGGAGGTCTTCCATCTGTTGGTTCATTCCCCAAAAGACTGCAACTGCCAGAGCTGGGCTAATCTGAAGCCAGGTGTTGGAAGGAGCTTCTTCCAGTCTCCCATGTTGGTGCAGGGACCCAAGCACTTGGGCCATTATCAGGGAGCTGGTTTGGAAGTGGAGTAGCCAGGGCACAAACTGGTGCCCATAATGGATGCCAGCCCTGTAGGCAGAGGCTTAACCTACTATGCCACAGTGCTAGCCCTTTTACCCTACTTTTATATTGTGATCTTCAACATTTCCCGTTGATTTATAAAAAGGCTTTTTAAAGTTAATATCAACCTTTGTCATATATTACAAATATATTTTCACAATTAACAGTTTATATTTTGACAACAGCTATTTTATATACCAATGTAAACATACATACATGTAGAGAGTATATAAATCTATTTTTGCCGTACAATTCTAATGTTGAGATCATGCCTAAATATTTACTGACATTTTCTTTTTAAAGACCTATTTGTTTATTTGGAAGTCAGAATTGGAGAGAGGGACGGATAGATGTTCCATTCATTGGTAAATTCCCCAGATGGCTGCAACATCCAAGGCTGGGCCAGGCTAAAGCCAGGAGCCAGGAGCCTCTTCTAGGTTTCCCACATGGGTAGCAGGGGCCGGAGCAGCCAGACCATCCTCCACTGTATTTCCTAGGTCGTTAGCAGGGAGCTAGATTGGAAGTGGAACAATCGAGGCATGAACCGGTGCCCACAGGGGATTCCAGAGTCGCAGGCAGTGGTTTTACCGCTTAAGCCACAACACTAGCCACCATCCCCCACCCCTGCAATCCCAACTAACATTTTCATTAGCACTTCTTTAGTTTTATTTTTCATTTAAATACTTGAACATAATTTATTTTGCCTTAAGATCTGAAGTTACGCTCTGACTATGTGTTCTCTACTTAGTCATTTATTCCAATTCAATTTGTTGTATATAGCCCATCCCTTTCTCCACTAATCTGACGTAGTCATAAATTTACTTCAATGTAATATCACAATCTAGCCCATTTGCTCATATTTATTAAGTGCTGGCTGTGGGCACAGAAATTCTTCTGATTCTGCATTTTCTAGTCCTTCTTTCTCAACTCTAGTCATTGATTCCAGTACACTTTAGATTTTATTTTCTTACACAGAAGCATTTAAGATATGCTGTGTTAAGTTGGCCTGGAATAGACTTAAAAAAAAAAAGGTGAGTTTTCATAAGTAAATTTTCATTTTTAAATTATTTGAGAGGCAAAGAGAGAGAGAGAGAGACAGGGACAGACAGATAAACAAACAGGGAGTTCCCATTCACTGGTTCACTCTCCAAATTTCCACCATGACTGGGGCCATACCAGGATGAAGCAAGAAGCTGAGAACTCAGTCTAGCCTCCCTCGTGGGTGGAACCCAGTCAGTTGAGCCATCACTACTGCGTCCCTGGGTCTGCATTAACAAAAGTCTGGAATCAAATTAGAGCTGTCCAATACCAGGCTGTTTTGATTATAACTGCCCTGCAGTGTGTCTTAAAATTAGGTATTCTGTTGCCTTTGGCTTTGTTTTTGTTGTTTAAGATTGCTTTAGCTATTTGAGGTCTCTTGTGTTTCCATATGAATTTTGGCATTGTTTTTTCTAGTTCCGAGAAGAATGTCATTGGTATTTTGATTGGGATCACATGTAATCTGTAAATTGCTTACGGTAGTATGGACATTTTAATGATATTCTTACATTTTGATGACATTAATTCTTACATTTTGATGAGATAAATTATTCCAATCCATGAAGATGGAAAATTTTTCCATTTGTTGTATCTTATTATATTTTTCTTTAATATTTTATAATTTTCATTGTAGATATCTTTTATTTACTTGTTTAAATTGATTCCAAGGATTTTTTTTGGTGGCTATTATGAATAGTACTAATCTTATAAGTTTTTTTCTCAGCCATCCCATTATCTATGTATATAAACACTATTGATTTTTGTATATTGATTTTATATTCTGCAACTTTACCAAAGTCTCTTATGAACTCCAATAGTTTCTTAGTGGAGTCTTTTGGTTTCCCTGTAAATAGGATCATGTCATCTGCAAACAGGGATAATTTGACTTCTTCCTTTCCAATTTTTATCCCCTGTGATTTCTTTTTCTTGCCTAATAGGTCTGGCTAAAACTTCTAGAACTATACTGAATGGACATGATGAGAGTGGTCATCCTTGTCTAGTCCCAGATCTTAGTGGAAATGCTTCCAGCTTTTCCTCATTTAATATGATTCTCTGTGTGGGTTTGTCATATGTTGCTTTGGTTGTGTTAAATGCTCCTTCTATACCCAATTTGCTTAAGGTTTTTATAATCCTTTTTAAAGGATGTTATAATTTATCAGATGCTTTCTCTGCATCTATTGAGATAATCATATGGTTTTTATTCTTCGATTTGTTATTATGATATATCACATTTAACTGATTTGCATATGTTGAACCCTTCCTGCGTACCAGGGATAAATCCCACTTGGTCTGGGTGAGTGATTTTTTGATATGTTGCTGGATTCAATTAGCTAGTATTTTTTCCGAGGAATTTTGCATCTATGTTCATCAGGAATGTTGGTCTATAGTTCTCTTTGTCTGTTGTATATCTTTTCCTGGTTTTGGTCTCATAGGAGTTTGGGGGGATTCCCTCCCTTTCAATTGTTTTGAATAGTTTGGAAAGAATTAGAATTAATTCTTCTTTAAAAGTCTGGTAGAATTCAGCAGTGAAGTCGGTTTTTCATTGTAGGGTGGG